GGTTCTTCTTACTGACAACTCTGCTGAAGAAGTGTGCAACATGTTCCAGTAGCCTCTTTTGGATTGTTCCTTTACTGCTGACAAGCTTCTCCAATAATAATAATAATATTAAGGTTGTGTCAAACCTTGACAACACGGAAGGCAAAAAAAAAAAAAAAAAAACGTTTGCTACCTTTCAGCAGCTCATACGGCAGCTGGACTGTATCCCTGTATCCTCACCCAGTCTAGTCAGTCTGTATCAGGGCCAAAAATGGCCAGGCGTGCAATGTAAACCGCGCTAAGACGCATGTGCTGTGCTGTATATAAGAATTGATATATATATATATATATATATATATATATATATATATATATATATATATATATATATTACTTACCGTCCCACTTTGACTCGAATTCTATGCGTTGGACTGTTCGTGTGAATAAGAATTTTCAGACTAAAATCTGTATTGAGCTCTATCACATCAAATTCTGCCAGTTCCAAACGAGTCACAGTAAACCCGTCTCCAATATAGTCTGTTGCCGCTTGGTTGTTGTTAACCTGCAGTCGAATGTTACATTTAAAAAGATTGAGAAACAACTGTCAGACATTTCATTTTACAATTGCTGTAATAATTCTTTAAATAAACTCCCTTGCGACACTCTAATCACTATTACTAACCGCAAGTTGTACTAGTACATGTATTTCTTCTTTCATTTAAAACTAAACATTTTTAATAAACACAAACACAATGAAATAAGATATGTTATAAATTGGAAAAATCTTACCATAAATCCCCCCTTGGAGTCAAATGTTATGCTGTTGTCACGAAATGAAACGCTTATTTCACGAACAAAGGTGTTTTGGTTGTCGTTTTCGGTTTTGTAATCGTTCTTTACTTCAACTTTGAAAGGTGGCTTGTAGATCATGTCGTCAGAAGTGTCGTTGCATGTCTTCATCAGAGAATACGTGCACGAGCCTATATAGTTAAAATATTGGATACTGAAGAGGTCATAGTCTAAAAATTTAGTGACAAACAAAGATACTTGCAATCTAAACTTTGGGTGACCCAAGACTTTCCACTAGAATATTTACCCACGTTATAAAGGCTCTGTAATCAGAATCAAAGAAATAAAAATAACACGAAGATGTGACTTCAAGGATAATCAAACTCAATGACAGGGATTTTTCTTTTTGTAGGGGAGGGATGCTTTCTTGTGACAAGAATATTTTTTACCTGAAAAGGTGATATGTGCCTCATCACAGGACGTGTACATAGTCCCGCCGAGTATACCGTGAAGGCTACACAAGCATTCTGGGGGCACTTTTGCATCTGAAAGGTAGAAAAAAAAATATCGGTATGTCTATACAAAAACAAAAACAAAAAAACAAAAAAAAAAAAAAAAAAAAAAAAACGATTAAATTGTTGCCTCCATGCCAAGTTTGAAAACATTGGGAACTATTGATTGACATTGTTTGAATAGTACTCTTTGAGAAGTTATGGAATCTTTTCGGGAATATCTTACTTTCCATAGCTGTTGATGAATTTAAGGCAATGCTAATACCCTAACGTTTCTTTGTGTAATAACGTATCGTATCACGGTAATCTCAGATATAGATATACGTCAGGGATATACCGAGTTTAATCATTAAACAAGTTCATCCACTAAGTCTGTGAAAACAAGGGAAAACTAAGAAAAATTGTTATTCTAAATACGTTCTTAATTGAAGTCCTGTTCTTTGTCTGAAATCTTGTCTTATAATGTTTAAACATACCTGCTTTGATCCCAAAAAGGACGATGAAAGCCAATGCAAGAACATTACAGTATCTCATTTTTACGATGTTCAGTCCTAAAATGATAGAATATTCAAATATTGAATTTTTAATCACAATTTTCAACAGGTGGTTTTGTAAAAGAATACTACAAATACTACTTTATTTCATTTATTTACGAAACTGGTTTATTCCTTTAGATATTTTATCATAAATTTTAGGACACTTTTAACTCAACTGTAGATAGTTTCTTAACTACAGGTGTGAAATTGAGGTACCCTCGTATATCTGAAACCAAAAATTCACAAGTGTGCTGACATTAAGTTATGGTATGCAATCTTTCTTTTCATTTTGAACACTTAATTAACACTAAAGAGAACAAATTATGAATAACTTACCTCGGTCTGATGTTCACACCCGACAACTGAAACCTTAAGTCTGACAAAAAATGCGATGTATTTCAGATTAAATAGAGTAGGCTGTAAGTGCGCATATTTTTGATAAATTTTTAAACGGTGTAGGATTGTCAACTCATTAGTGAACAGGCGAGTCATTAAGAGGCCGCTTGTAGGGATTAATTGGTTAAGAATTTCCCTTTTTTCTCATTTTTATTGACTTGTAAATGAAAGGCGCCTTACGTCCTTTTCTACTCATGCATACCAATTGCAGTTGGAAGAATTCCTTTTATCCCTTTACTAGCCTCTATACAAATGAAGAAAGCAATCATAAAACATACACGCAATAACACCGAAACATTGAACTTGTCTTTTGGAAAACTTTCAAACTGGATTTGATAAAGTTATGGTCTGCAAGTACAAGACAATTCAACTGACTAGAAAATCATCGATGACGCCAGGGATATACGTTTTTTCCCATCAGATTTCTTCGAACTCTCTGTAAACGTACGTAATTATGTTCCACACCCGTCACACGTCGGTTAATAGGCTGATCAACATGCCAATTCATCTCTGATATGTTCTCTCGCATATGGTCATAAATAAGAGATGTCAATCTGTTTCATTTCAATCATCGCATTTTATATTAACAATTTTCCATGTATTCACTGGCTATATTTACCGTCTGTGTTGAAGATTTTGGGACGTAAAACCCGCACCCAAAACACGATACTCATCGTTTTTGATTAGATATCAATGCAAAGAAAATTGAAAAAATGATAATGTCCCGTTCCATTCGTATGAATACGTACACCATAACCTTCTTGTTGCACGATTTAACCCTTTCATCCTATGTACATGGAATCTCTGGGTGACCATTTTCCATCTCTATTTTACTCAATGATTAGCAATTTGAATCCAAACAAAGACGGGCTAAACCCTCCTACGACCTTATTAATATATATACACAATTTTAAATAATATTCATAAGCGATATGAATGGTTTCTATTAGTAAACATGATTTAGCAGAAAAAATTATCTTCTTGCCATAACATGGATTATTTTCACCATCGAATAGTTGTACATTTTCAGGTGGGATATTGATACATACATGCTGTCTCAAAACATTGCTGTTAATGATTATTTTAATATTTGAACAGTGTATGAATAACTGCCATAATAATTACTACAACTCATTTCTCTGTGTATAACGTTACCGTTTATATGCAGAAAAACTGTATGCTAGAGAAAACAACAGGTTAATTGCAATGACATAGACCAAACAGTATGTAAAAGTTGTGGTATTCAACATTTTTTCTCTTTAGGTAGTGACAACTTACTCCTGATTTCAGGATGTTAACAATAGTTTCATGAAGATATAAAATGCTGGTGATAAAAACCAAATGTTCCATAAATATGACTGCCACTTTTATATACCAGAAATTCGTTATCTTAAGAGAAGACGGAAAGAGGAAATCATTATTTTGTTGCATTTTACGAGGACATTGCTTGCACTAATCACCACACACCCTGTATTCCTGTACATGTATGTTATTTACTAACGCCTTAGAAATAATGGGGACGATAGCCACTTTTTTTTTGGGGGGGGGGATCATAAGTACTGCAATATGTGATATATGAAGAAAAGCAACAGTTGAATTTACTGACCTTTTATTTACATATTGAAAAAGGGTATTCAAGTAATAAATCTCATAACAGCCTACAGAAGATGATTTATTTTTACACAAAGAGCATTGTCTTGTGAGCATTTTTAGTGTATTGATACATGTATGTTGGGATACCATGCACGTACTGTTAATATTTTACTTGGTACTAAACGCGTTTGAAAAGGCAGTAAAGATAAATTTTTATGCCTTCATATCCTGCAAAGCTACTTATCTTTTCTTATTAAGACCTTTAAAAAAGAAAATGCTAAAACGATGAAAATGTGTGCACCATGTACAGAGGGGTGACAAAAGTTTTGCACCATTTTGCTTGAAGATGAAAAACAGCTGGGTTTGTTTAGTTTTTCAAATAGTATTTTATTGAAAACTGGCAATGTCAAGTTACTATCTTTACTTCAGGTTCACAGTCCAATGTGTTGTCCTTATATAACCTTACATATATATCTCAGTATTCATACATGTATTTTGTAAGACAGCCAAGTGATCTCAATATGACCACTATCCTTCTGGAGATTGATAACGGTTCAGTAATCTTCAGCAATATTCTGTGGGCTACGTTTGTATTTCCATTCTGATTCCACAGGTTTTCATTGGGGTTTATGACTGGTGATTGGGCAAGCCAGTCCACCCTGTTGATGCCATAATGGTAAAACCACTCTTGTACAGACCTGAGCCTGTGGAATGTGGCGTTATCATATTGGAAAATGAATTGCTCAGCAACACAAAATGGCGCCATAAATGGATCTAGGGTCCATGCAATGGTTCTTTCACCCCATGTCACTCTTCTTCGTTTGTTTACCAATGTGATGAGCAGTTTTCGCCTGGCAACCCTGGTGTGAATTCCTGAAGCATGGAACTTTCTTTAAACAGTTATTTTGCTAACCTCAACCTTCAAATTACGGGACCACTGAAAAGCTGATTCGCTGCAAGATTCAAATCTCTTAAGCCTTGACAGCATAAAAGACACCTGGTGTCTCTGGCACTGGTCTTCTTCGGGCGGCCACTTTGTGGTGACTGATGGGCATCACCCTATATACAGTCTGACCAGAAACACCGTATCTGGCGGCTATCTGAGAGACATTTATATCCCCCGGAGGAACAATTTATTTTCTTTCTTCCTTTGTGAGCTTCCGTAGCTTCTCCATGGCAGGAACTTGTCAGTCAGAGGGGGCTTGCACCCTCGTTGCTACCCCTCACAGTGCACACGGATAAAAATTCATTACTGGTTACGCGAACAATAAACCACAAATCACTTTTTGCGAATGGGTTCCCCATGTCACAAAGCGCACTATTCACACAGGTGGTGCAACATTCTTATGTCACCCCCCTGTAGCCACCTTGTTCAATGAAAACCGTTTCTGTAAAATGCAAAACATGTATTTCATTTACCCTCTGATGAGTCTTGAAATGGCGCTTGAAATGTTTTTTTTAAATTAATACGTTATTTTGTGTTTAAAACTTTTCAAAATGGAATATTAACAAATGTTTAACTTAATACGGCAGGATAGAACTATGAAACTTTTTTGAGAGTGCAGTCAGGTTAATCGGTTATCTCTATTGAACATAGACAAATTAGGCATAAACATTCATATATACATGCACGCTACAAATAACGGTGTCAAACATACAGTAGTGTTTAAGTTCAACTAACAATCTTATTTAAAGGGTCAAACTTTTGCTTAATTAGTAGGAAAAACATGTTTATTTCCTGCTTCAATCAATATCGTCATTGTTGGTTAAGTTTTTTAATTAGAAAGGTGTGATGATAGCCAGAGAACCAATACTGGCGTTCATCCTCCAGTGAACCTATCTATTTCACGTAACAGTGGCGTTTGCCCGCTTTGATAGACCCCCCCCCTTCATTGTAACATCGTAGCACATACATTTACATGTAACATATTTTGGAACACTTGAAAAACAGAAAACCCTGTTTAAAATGAAGTCCTTGTCTTAGTGATGACCCACACCCATCCACTATATTGCGTGAAATACCTTCAGTTATTACGTCAAAAACATTTGACATCGAGAGATACTGAGTAACTCTACATGTTTAAACAAAGCAACATTTATTAAACATTTTAAATATGACAAAATTAAATATACTGCACCACACTTTAAAGGAAATTAGCCAGCTGAAAATTAACCCTTCAGTTCAAGTGTTATTGCACCAAAAAGAAGGAATACATGCAGACATGCTTAGGACCTAACCCGTAGCACATGCATAGTACGCGTATAATGTTCCCTCAACGTTCTTTTTCTTTTGCAACATGAATTATACTCTTTTGGTATTGAAGAATTTAATCCTTGTATAATGAGTTGTTTTCCAGCGTCAAACACTTTATGTAATGTTGAATTGGCATACCGATATAAAATAATGTCCATATCGATCTATGTGAACATGTACATACACAAGCTACATGTTTATACGACATAATAACGATAAATAACTATTTGAAAGAATATTCCACCAAGATCGAAACTGCATACACCTTATACACTGCATTATGTGAATCGGATACTTCAGTGGTCGGCATTTCAAAAGGCTCATACGAGTGGGGCTCAAACAAATGGTATTCCGGCGTACCGAGCCAAATATGGTTCCCATTTATGACATCCCAATTCTGGCTTAGCAGGGCAATTCAGCACTTCACACCAACCCTCAGATCTCCGTTGTATATCTCTGCATACCTCCCCTAGGGCCTGGACGAAATAACAGACCTGTCGCTGGGCGTTTCTTTTTGATCTCGTCAACCCCGAACAAAAGGCACTGACGCAACCATCTTCAAATTCCGTTACATTGATGTGATGCACTGGGTTCCTCAGTTGACGAAGGCAACGGCTGAAAATCCTTTTGACAGGACTCCTCCTTTTACGGATTTGACATAAATACTCGGCTTGAGCAAGCAATGTAGAATCAACCCCCTGGCAAGCAGTTGGATCCACCTCATGTAACATATTTTCAAGTTTCAGATGCTCGTGCAAAGTGGGTATGACGTCCTCGCATCTAAAAAGAGTACTGACTTAAATGTATCTTCTGGCAGAGACTAAACAGCGATCAGCTTTTGCAATCTACAAACATAAAGCATTAGTGTGTGTGTGTGTGTGTGTGTGTGTGTGTGTGTGTG